TATCTCATGGATAGGATCTTTTCAATATTCAGCAACGAAGGAGGATATGACTAGCTGGCAGCGTGGCAGCCTGGCAGCCACAAAGTTTGCCGTCTTATTGGATGCGGATTCCGGGATATATTATATTGGGGCACAAGGAGCCGCCGCCGCCACCGCCACCGCCGCCGCCGCCGCTGGCTATAACAATAAAAGTCATTTATAGATTTCGATTTTGTGCACACACACACACATGTGTGTGATGGCGGTGGGGGAGAGTGCGGAGTGCGGAGTGCGGAGTGGAAGTGCCCTTGGGGGGCCACTATCTGTGGCATAAGTTGGCCGTTGCATAGTTTCAGTCTGCCTCTTATTCTTATCAGCACTTTTGTGCTACCCCTCCCCGAGCAGCTCCTTGCGGGATTCGTCCTTCGTCCTTTGTCTTTGTCTTTGTCCTGGTGTCATAATCAGCATGATGCTTATGAAAATGTTCTTTGTTCCGAGTGGCTTATCAGCCACCCCCATTGGCGTTGTCGTCTGCATGGAAATCCATAAAAATAATGTTTCAATTCGGCATGGGCTGGGCAGGACACCAGGACTCGTGCAGGACTCCAGCCTTGTCAATCATTCCGCGCACAGAAGAATGGCGTAAAATGTTTTGATAAGCTCCAACAGCGCCAGAGAGAGAGACAGAGAGAGAGAAATCGCTTAGATGGGACAACTACGGACCGAGGCTGTGGCAATTAATTCATTCGAAAAGACACTTGACGAATGCTCCAACCCCCGGCTACGCCGATATCCTGCCGCATGCTTAATTAAATGAGTTTTCGAGGAAACTCTTTTCATGTTTTAATTACGCAAATACTCGGCATAATTTAGCAGATGCTATGGCAGCAGTGGCAGTGGCACTGGCAGTGGCACGTTGCACGGCCAGAAATATGCATAAGAAACAATTTGTATAAGCTGCGGCTGCCTTGGCTCCCCTGCTCCTTGCTGCTCCTTGCTGCTCCTGTGTAATGCGACAACTGTCAACTTCAAAGCTGGAATGCCATGCCTTAACCCTTAACCCTTAACCCTCCCAAACCATGCTCAGTCTCAGGCTTTAGGCGCATAACTCCAAGCGGCTCGGATTGCTTTGTGGAAATTAGTTCAGCGGCATGACCGATCCCACTCGGGAAATACTTGGAGCACAGCAGGCAGGCAGGCAGGCAGGCAGGCAGGCAGGCAGGTAGGCAGCTGCTGCAAGATGCTGCACATTCGGCTGCAGTTTTTCAGTCCAAATTCTTGTCATATTTTCGACACTCTTAGAGCACTCAAGGGCCAAGCCTAGGGCATGTCTTAAAAGTGCATTTCGAGGCATTTACTGCGCGGGTTGGCCAGAGGCCAATCAAGTCGCTCCAAGGACAGCAGCAGTGGACAGCCAACCGCACCACCCCAGCAGCCCCAGCCCCCCAGCCCCCAGCTCCACCAGTGGCGGCAGAAATGTGTCCTGTGACCCACATGTCAAGATGGGGTTGCCTTAGGGTTGGGTGTGGGTCTGGGTGTAGGTGTGTGGGGGGTCCATAAGGGCAAGTGTAGACGTAGGAGTGGCCAAATGTCAAATAAGAGTCCTCGTCCTCGTCCTCGTTGTCGTTGTCGTTGTCGTGTGTGCGCCTTCGTTTTCAACGTCGTCGGCGTCTTGAGTAGAGGCGAGCCAAACACCTCGCGTCGGGTGTGAGCGAGAGAGAGAGAGAGAGAGAGAGTGCCAGCGAGCGAGCGAGAGAGCAACGTGCGAATTGGTAAACGCCCACTTTCTGTAACGCCCCACCCCAGGCCGCCCAACAGTGCCATCCCCAGCAGCAGCAGCAGCAGCAGC